AGACGCACAGGTCCTGGCGCTTGGGGAGGTTTCGCCCAAGGAAGAGTCAGCAGGCCCAGGCTGTGGGAAACCTCAGGGAGCGAATGACAGCAGCCTTCTCGCCTTTGATTTTAGGGCTGGGCTGGCCAAGATCTTCATCCAGGACCTGGGTTCCAATGGGCAGCTGAGAAGGGGAGATGGTAGGAGGCTGAGCCACTGTCCCTGTGCAGCCAGACTGCTGCCGCTTTCAGTCCCAGGACCTGAGCAGTGCATGAGCCTCCAGCTACTGCTGCCAAGGGAGCCCAGGGAACGGGAACAGGGCAAGGGTGCTCCTTGGGCAGCACCTGGCTGCTCTGGGACCCCAGGTACCCTCCAGGCTCAATCCCACCAATCTGGATGAGCTATCCCATGTGACCCTGCCATGGGGCTCTGTGTCTGAGGACAGAGATGGAGTCAAGCCATGGGTCTCAGCCCTATGCCAGCCCGGGTTTCTCTCTTCACCCTCCTGGTCACCGCCTGTCCCCAGAGCCACATGGCCACCATCATTCACATTCCACCAGCAAACTGGGAGGCTTGTGTCACACAACTGCAGAGGGGCCTTCGGACAAGCTCTGGTAGGGTGGGGAGGACTTTGCTCCCCAGCAAATCCTGGGTCCCACGTCTTGTCCCCCACTTCAGCTGGCTGTTGTTTCCTGTGACCCTTGGTCTCTCTTCAAGGAAAGCCAGATCTCCAGATTCCCTACCCCTGTGCCCCTCTGTCCTTAGGTGCCCTGGGAGCGCTGTGCTCCCGCCCGCCCCTGCCAGGTGTGAGAGAAGCCTGCAGAGGGTAGAAGCGAGTTCCCACGCAGAGCCCGGCTCAGCTCCATCCCCTCCTGCCTGTGTGACAAGCTCCAACCCTGGCCCCTGCCTGGGAGCCCCTTCAGGCGCATTAAGTGGGAGAACACAGCCCCCCTCACAGTGTTTCTAGACGATCTCCAGGCCCAGTGCACCCTACCCCTCTGTGCCTGGCCCATGTGGGGCCTCTGTCAGGAAGCGTTCTCCTGGGCAGGCCCTTCACTTTGCTGCTCTGCAGGCAGCCGCTGGACCAGGAACCTGACTCTTGATAAAGCCAAAGAAGCAGGAAACCATGCACAAAGACCAAGGCCTGAAAAGGAAAGAAAGAGACTTTAGAGCTGCCCAGCCTCCCAGAAGGGTCTTGCTCTCCTTGCGGCCTCCTCTGCAGCTGCCCTCCCCACCTCTCTGGGCCCTGGGGCCAGCTCAGAGCCTCCTCCCACTGGCTCCAATCCCTTGGGCACACAGTGGGCTCCCCAGCTGTCCGAGGCTAGAGGATGAACTTCTGTGTGCCTGGGAGGGCAGAAGTAGCCCCTGAAGGGACCCTGGGGGGACAGGGCCAAGGAGCAGGACCGGGGGCAGGGGAGAGGCAGGAACATCTTCCCCACTCTTTCCTGGCTGCAAGCTTTCCAAGATGTCCTCAGTGGGGCTGGGGGTGCAAGAGCTACAACAGGAGCAGGCAGAGGCCAGTCCCCTGTCCCCAAATGCAAGGCAGGAGACAGTCTGGGGAAGGGCGGTGGAGGGCTGCAGCTAGCTCCAGGGACCTGAGGACGAGCAGCAGTCGCGGGGTTTGGATGGAACAGAAGCAGTACTCTCTATCCGCGGGCCTGAGACTGGAGCAGAAGGGTGGGCGAATGGACTCTCGCCAAGCCTTCCCTGGACTTCTCTGGCCCATTCTGGCTTATTTCCCAGGGTTCAGGTGACATCACCCAGACCTCTGGGTGAGGGGGGGCGGGGCCGGGAGCACGGCTGGAGGGGGCTCTTGTCCGTGTGCTGGCGATGGCCCGCCCCTCTGAGACGCCCATCGCGGCATCGGGACAGGCGGGCAGAGGGGCGCCCACCTGTGCCTGCCTTCCGTTTTCCCAGCTCAGCTGCGTAGCTTTTCGGGCTGCTTTGCCTGGCTGTCCTCCCTGCTCCTCCCAAATCATCAGGGAGCCTCAACACCTAGAGGCCAGGGCAAGGGACATCGCCCAGCTCTCCCTCTAAGCTGTGGCCTCCTACCTTTCCGTGCAGGGCCCGGGAAATGCAGCCGCTGCGGCAGAAGTCCTCCTTCCCGGCTACCGCCTTTGGCCACCGTGAGGCAACAGGTCGGCTGGGCCCGAACAATTTTCGCGAGCCCACTGGCCAGGAGCCGGTGCGCGGGTCCCCGCGGGCCGCGCGGGCGGAGTCCGGGGTCGGGCGCTGAGGCCGCGCGGC